TTATAAAAAATATATCAATTTGTTCATTCATTACACAATTGCATGAAATGCAATTTTATCACCGGAGTTGAAGCATGCATCACTTATTTTCACTAATATATAGATCCCATACATGATGTCTAACCGTTTTATTAAAGTGGACGGTACTACTATGTAGCCTACTATAGTAGCATAGAAGGAATGAGTATATATATTGATAATTTATTAGTTATGTTGCTGTCAGAATAGTGGCATTTGTTGAATTATCATTTAATATAACCATGGCGTATCCAAGATTTTCTTATTGGGGGGGAGGGATTTTTTGCGGGCTTCGCCTCCAAACCCGCTTGCCCCCAAACCCCTTAGCTGGCCTTCGGCCAGCTTTTGCCCGGCCTTCAGCCGGGTCTTATGTTTTAGCTATTCTATTAAATTATTCTTAATTTAATAATATTTATACATCTATTTTTAACTTTTATTTACTAATTTGTGCATATCGATATTACAAGCCTATTTTTTATTATTTTAAGTTAGGTATGTTATATTTAATAAAGTTTTTTAAAATGTAAAGTTGAAATGCTTTCAAAACTAGCCTCAGCTTAAATTCTCATACAATATAAGTAGAATAAAAAAATTTTTATTGAAAATACTAATTGCACAGTGTATAAAATATTGGCTAGAAAATAATTCAAAAAGCAAGTTTTTATAACTTCTATCAAATACAATATTATCAAAAAGTTTATTAAACACTATAACTTTAATTAATTTTTAATTTTTGTGTGGATTATGCCAATTCATCTAGAATTTCGTTCGTCGTTGAAACTAAATCTCTATGAATATTTAACATAGCTAATCCATTTAGCCGAGATTCTGAAGTAGTTCTTCGTAAAAATGTCTTCAGCCTTCTCAAGTTTGAAAATTTCATTTCATTCGTGCATGTTGTAATAGGCAAACATGCAAGAATATAAAATAACTTCAAAATATCGGGAAATTGAGCCAACATGCTCAGTCAGGCATATTTAAATTTTGTATATCTTCTGTTCTAAAGAAAAATGAAAAATATAAAATTAGATATTTATTAATAATTAAAATATTATTAAAAATACTTATTAATTCTAACTCACTAACTAATAATTTTGAATTTCATAAAATAAATATATTTAATAATAAATTACATACCGTTTGATTTCAATATCTTTGTCTTTGACTAAAAATTTCTCCATTTTTTATTAATATTTTTGAATAATGTTAATGTCACAAGGAAAGGAAATTCAAAAAAAATTTTTTTATAAAAAAAAAGTTTTATGTTGGGATTGATATTCAAATATTTTTAAAATTTTGATTAAGGGGGGGGGGGGGGGGTAAAATTTTTATTAGCTTAAAATGATATTTATGAAAACAGTCAAATTTGCGATGGGGGGGGGGGAATTTCCCCTTTCCCCTCCATTGGTTACGCGCCTGAATATAACAGATCGGGTTTGTATATTTTTTGTTTTTTCTTCTATATCTTTTTTAAGTTTCTTTTTGTTTTTTCTTCTATATCTTTTTGTTTTTTAAGTTTCTTTTTGTTTTTTCTTCTATATCTTTTTTAAGTTTAAGTAGTTTTTCTTACTCATTAATTGTTGGTGGTATACTGATATTGTGTATCCTAGAGGAAAAAATGTTGACATCGTTTGTCCTAGTTCCAATGATCAGGATCATATGTATCATCATTCAATTTTTACAAAATCTATATTTCATTATTATTATTATTGGTCCTAAGCTTTTTTAAAAGAATATAAACGGTTTAGTGAATTGCAAAGTATTCTAATTCAAATAGGTTATATTCTATTTTTAATTCTAGCAAAAAGTTAAAATTATAAATATATCTTCCACAAAGAATCCTGAAAAAATTTAAAGTAGATTTTCTTACATTTTTTTAAATCTTAGTTGGTAAAAATTTAATTTTATCAACCAAATAAAATTTTATTTAATTTATCTTTATTTATAATTATGACCTACAAAATGTATAGAATATATGAAATATTCAGATCCAAAAAGACAGAGTTTGCTGATTATATTTATTTCTAAAACTTCCTATGCAACAAGTAAAAAGAAACTGCAAAAATCATGTACATCAGATAGAGCCTTAGACATCAAACTTTACAGATTTTTTGGATCTAGAGGAACTTATTTTGCCTGCCCTTTAAGAAATATCAGAATAATCTGAACCAGATATCTCACCTGGCTGATATAGTATTAGATTCAATATGACAGCCGATTTTTTTGCATTGAAATATGTTAATAAATTTACACAACAGTGTTAAGCAATATTTTTCAAAAAAATGACATTAGAATACTAAAAGATAATATTGACCAAGAATCTTGCGAGATTTGTGTGATTGTTGAGATGAAAGTGAAATTATATAATTTTAAGATTCTCAAGCCTTGACTTGTATCTAGACAAACTCCTTCCAATATTAACGTTAGAAACTTAAATATTTACTAAAATTTTATTCAGAAGATATAAATGGATCTGAAGGGCAACTAATTTCAGAACTCTTGGTGCGAAAAATTAATGTGTAATAAGAAACCCATGGAATCGTAGTTTAAAATATATTTTGGAGCTTTTCCAAATATATTAAGGATTTACTGAATATTTTGTCAACAATACCAAATAGTATAGGGAGCCGATTTTTAAAAACGTTAACTCATTATTTATGTTATAAAAATTTGGTCTAAGACTCGAAATTTAGTCAATATAATCCAAACCTTTATGCGATCTATGAGCGAAATCTTAAGGCTTTTACAATATTTGGTATAATATTGATAGCTGTTTATGAAAATGGACTCAAATCATTCGGTTTAATAACACTAGTAAAAGCATAAATGAGAAGACCATTTCTTCATTACGGAGAATAAAAACAACTTAACTCAGAACTACGACATCAGTAAATAAATTGAATTGACTAGCTCTGCTTAACATACATAGAGATTACTGAACAACCTATTGAAAAATTGGCGCAATCGTATAGAAAATAAATTACTATTTATGACCAATATTTTGATTCGAATCATCATATAATGTTTAATTTTAAATTTATTATGATTTACTTACCGGTTTATATAGCTATAATATTTTTTTAACAATATTATATTCGCTATTAAATATTTATTTTTTTCATAAGGTTTGTTCTATAAATTTTTAATGTTTCAAAAATACATTTTAATTTTAAAAAAATGACCCCCACCCCTCCCTTTAGAAAATTCTAAGTCGCGCCTGATTAGTCGTCTTTATCATCATTTTTTCCCTTAATCGTCGTCATCATTATTATTATTGATGGTAGATATCTGCAAAAGTAGGCCCGGCCCGCCGGGACGGGTTTGGGCCTATTTATTAAAAAAGAAATCGGGTTCGAACTGGGCTGGGCCTAATATTTTTTTAAAAAATAATATATCAAAATTTATAAATTTTATGTTGAATTTTTTATGTAAAATAAAAATATTGGATTTTATTTATAGAAACTAGACGGCATGTAACATATATCATTTATTTTGAGTAATTATAAAAATGAATTTCTATATTTAAATAAATTCGGGCCGGGTTGGTAAATTTTTTTAAAAAAAATTTCGGGCCGAGCTTGAATAATTAGGCCCGATGCAGATCACTAACTGACGGTGTTCCTTTAAATATTTTATGTTTCCGTTAAGTGCCATGAACTCAGTAAATGAGAAATTGATCAGCTCCATATGCACTAAACATTTTTCTAACTAATATTTGGGAAATGCAACATTCTATGATCTGGGAAAAATTTCATGGACGAGAGTATCATATTTTCTCGAGTGTGACCCTCAAAGAAATGAACCGGTTAATTGGTAAAATATTGGTTCTACTCCACAGAATTGAGTATTAGAGGTGTTCCTTGAATTTCTTCTTAATAATTTATTTATAAAGATCTGGACGTGTTAATATTGCTATTGGTGTCTTGCTATGTTTCTAGTCCATATATTAATATGAGGATATTTACGGATACAAATGTTTTATTGTTTAGTATATATTTGGCTGAAAGACAATAGTTTTGCTAGTTAATGGTATCGAAATCTGGTCTTGCTTGTTCTCGGTTTTGTATCTAATTTAGTTAGATCTAATGAGCTTATTGTGGCTTCTAGTTAAAGTGTAACTGATTCTATGACGATATCATTAAGGATAAACCTATATAGCTCAACTAATCCATTACTGCAACAAATAATACCAGTATGTTCATTAGTTTAATTTTTGAGATAGCCAGTAAAAATCTCCTCATAATATAAAAAATTCAGCCAGTTATGCATAATATTCGATGTTTGTCAAAATGTTGTGGAGTGCATATTCCTGTTAGAAGGATATATATATAACACCATCTATTATTACATTAAACACCATAGTTGAGAGAATGCATCCTTGTATAAGGCTCATTTTAACTTTAAATGATTGTGATTTGATAGTTTGATGTTGTTGTATTATATTATGATTGCCATAAATTATATTTATTAAAAAGATTAAAGATTTGTCTATTCCTTGTATTCCAGTAAGGGCCATATTTTATATAGTATTATTGAGTTAAAGGCCTGGCTTAGAACAATCATCAGAGCAAAACAAAGGATTTATGAATACTAGCTTTATCGGATGACTTAAAGAGCCATGGTTAGTTCTGTTGTATTTCTGCCCTTTCTATAAGATGTAATAGCATGAGAAGGGATTTGATTCATTATTTGTTTGATTCTATCTAATATAATATATCTAAATATTTTTAAGGCAATTGGGATAATACATTCAATGCTGGTTGCTTTGAGCAATTTTAGGCTTTTTATAGCTCTGGTTCACGTTCGCTTTCAAAAAAAAAAGACGAACGCGTTCAGTTCGTTCAAAATTTTATGATAAAGTTTTTTTTAAAATTTAATTTATAAATAAACCACAATATATTAGCCATAATATATTTTATTGGGATAATATAATTATAAATATAATAATAAAAAGATATTCTTATTTATAATTTTTTTTTTTGTAATAAGTAGTATATTTAAGTTTTAAATCACCGTTTATCATAAAATAAACAATTTTCAGTAATCAAAAAATGAGTATGGGAATAATTTAAAAGGAGTTTGTGGAAAATAATAATTTTTTGATTAAAATCATGTAAAAAATAAAATAACTATTCCTAAAACCTGAGGGAATGATATACATACAGTTAAAATATAGCCAATATTTTTTAAGTGACATCGGTCATATATGTTACATTATAAACATTGTTTTATGTTTTAAAAATAATAAGCTAAAATTAATATATATATTTGAATTTAAAAAATAAAGAAAGGAATAAAGGTAAAATTTATAAAATATTTTCTTTGATAAATGTTGCGAAAATTGTCAATATGAAAGAAACAGTTAGCATAATCAAAGATCCATTCATTTTTGGAGTACCATTGCATAGATCTGTATTGCAGCAGCTTGTTTTCATATCTTTATTATATAAGGTCGTATATAAAAAAATATTTGAGTTAGTATGTTCAAAAATTTATAATAAATAAAAATAGTCGAAATTGGCAACCAATTATAAGCAGGCGCGTAGAATTCGCTGGGGGAGGGGGGATAATAAAATTTGTTATATATTTACAATGTAAAATCCAATCTTCGTTGGGATTGAGCTAATTTGTCAATCATCTAATCCTTGGTTGGCGTCAAATGCCTATGAATATTCCAAAACATTCAATCTAATATCAGAAGTTGTACTTCTTAGGTATGTTTTTCAGAGACCTGCAGAACCGGACCCTAAAAAACACCTGGGTCGGGCCCTAATTTTTTTTTAAAAAAACACCCGAACCGAGCCTGAAATTTTTTTTAAAAAAAAATCCGGGCCGTGCCCTGCAAATTGTACCTCTGCAGGGCTATGTTATTCTTCTTGAAAAAGAGTTCTCTCATTAATTTACTAATGGGAAGAGTTGCTAATATATAACCATTTTAATACATTAGGAATATAATCTAAAATATGTTTGAAATGCAAAGCATCCATAGCATTTTTTGGGACTATATCAACCATAGGTAATCTTTTAATCATATTCAGCTAATAAGGCATCATAAGATATTTTAACATCTTCATGATAAAAATTTAACAAATATTTCTTTCTCTATCACCATCTGAAAATGGTTGGGAAGGCTTTTGTGGAAGTAATATCTGCAGATTGGCAAGTGCTGCATGATGAATTAAAAACTATTGATTTATTTGGTTTATACGTGTATCTAAGAGAGGGGACATTTGTTTTATAATACTGTTCTACTGATCCTATATTAATGTTTTGACGATGAGCTTTTGCTAAACACGTATAGATCTGCTTTTGACTCAACAATAACATATAAGATATAAAATTCTTCATCAACATTAGCCCTAATTTCCTTGAGTTCTAATAAAATGCTCTCCGCTATTCTCATCTTCTTAGGCAAGTCAATGTCATGTTTTTTAAAACTATTACATAAAATAGTTGTACAATTAAATAATATATTCTAATGAGGAAAAAAATTGGGAATAAGTATTGAATCCAATAATTTTCTTGCTTCTAAGGATATATTTCTTTCAGGCCATTGTGATATTTCAGTGATAGCATTAATAATAGGCTCTTCTAACTCCATAAAAGCTGTTACTGCTTGATGGCGAAGACTCCATCTAGTTGGACAAGCTTGCAAATTCTTTCTCCCTGTTGGACAAGGAGTAAATAATTATTATTTGACTAGAAATTTGAAAAGATAAATATTAAGCCACTAGATATTTGAAAATAATAGGTAAATATTACGTCAAGGAAAACTTGAAATCGAAATTAATTTAGTAGATGAATGTGATAAATAAATGTAATTAAATATATATTTAATATGAAATAGGAATAAATATTAACAAATATAAATTAATATAAACAATAATATTTTTAAAAAATATATCCGGCATCTGCATTTTTTGGCTGGGGGGGGGGGGATTTGTCCCCCAGCCCCCTCCCCCCGCTGCGTACGCGTCTGATTATATGATATCAATTTTAGCATCCCTAACTTTTTATTTCGGTATTTTAAGCAGAGATAATAATGACAAAACTTAATTCGATTAAAAATTCGAACAGGAGGGAAGATATACCAAATATTACGATAAATAAAATAGACATTATATTCCTCATCTCATTTGAATTGCAAATAAAGAGCCAAAATTTAAGCATTTATTCAAAAGGAAATATTTGATATAATATTTATCGAATCAATCTTTAATTTGATTCGCAAAAAAAATTCGTTACTTTTTAATCCAAGATATTTATTATACGTATGCATTAATATTTTTTACAAAAAAACGAAGACCGGAGATAGTATTTACCCCGAGGCACTTATTAAATAATTTATAAATTATTATACCTTTAAATTTAAACTAAAGGTGTATTTTAAAAAGTCTCAAAAAATTTTTAATGAAAATTTAAATTTTATAAAAATAACTTAATATTTTAACATTTTTAAGTTTCCCAAATAGAAAATCAATAAATGATAAAATATCTGAGTTTAATTTTCTATAAATATATTGACAATATTCATGCTAATTTAACATTCTGAAATTAACTATTAACTAAATGTTAAGATCTGTAGGAGGTTTTGGTGGGGTGCATATTAGACCTATTGCAAGCATTTATTTTCAATAAAAGAATTACATCTGTATTTCAAGAAGTTTAGTTATGGCCATGAAATTGTGAAGATGGCTGACTTGTTCTTTGTAAATTATATGAGTTTTAAAAGACAAGTCCTCGCCATGTGAATATTTTTTTAATAAAGTTTGCATCAGATATAGGAATAAATTAGGCTCTCGTTTAAAATTTTAATGATTAGTGTAACCAAGATGGCGTCTCCAGCTGATTTGCATTGATGTACACTTTTAATGAATGAATCGTCAGTCTAGGTATTATATATGTCATTGATCACAGCAATATCGCGCTATTTTCACGATTACTAAGCTTTAGGTGTGTCAAGCGTGGTTTACCTCCTTTCCCACCCCAGATCTCTTATTTAAAAAATATATATTTCAACTATAAAATCTTTTGATTTCTCCTGGTGTGGGGCTTTGACTTCTCATATAACGAAGTATCAGATAATTATTATTTTGACAAATTTTAAGTTATTTATCGATAGAGATCGTAGTTGTTTAGTATTTGTATCGATATATTTTTTGGCGTATTAAATATATCGCCATATGGAAAAATTGTATATTTATATTCCTTTCAGTTAGGTACATTTTATGAAAAAATTACCCGATAGCTCACGTTATTATCATGTAAAACCCATTTTTCGATCTGGATCTTTGGTGAAGACCTTATCATCAATAACTCGGCAAAGATTAAATGGTAGCATTGGGATTCTAATTCGACCAAAATCTCTTTATCATTCGTCTTGTTTAGAGGAGGAACGTTAAAAAATTTCAAATTTTCTTTGTATTCTTCCCTCATATTGGGATTAAGGATCAGGACCAAACTCCTCAATTTTTGACTCTTCGCAAATTTGTAAATCACATCCATCCACATCTCGATTAATAACGTCGCAATGGCGAGTTTAAAATTGTTGCTTATTATTTTTGAATTTTTAAAATTTTATTATTAATTTTTTTAAATTTCTGATTATATTATATTACATTTATTTTGCTTTCTTTCTTTCTATGTATAGTTTTTTCTATAGCACGATAAAAAAATAACTGCCTTTTTTTCATAAAAGCAAACCTCCAGTGCCAGAGTTGATCAAGAAGGAAAGGGGCATGAAGGGATGATTTGGTGAATTTAATAATTTTATAGTGTATTTTCATTTATTTACAGTGGATTTTTTTTTAAAAAAAATGATACTAACAGGCTCCACGAAAAGCTAAAAAGTCCCTCAGTTTTTCACAATTCTTAAATTTTCATTTTTTATATTAATAAAAAACTATGATTTTTTCCCTAATTATTAATTTTTACCATGTGAAATATATTATATATGTTAGCGTCCATGTGTTATTCTTTCAACCTTCATTTTTGATCGTGCTTTTTAAAATTGATTTCATCGGAATGTATTTCAGCATGTTTAGAAAACCTATTCACTGATTTTTAGAAAATCTTGCTCCATAGATTTTTCATTTAAAGTGTAAAACTCGAAGTCAATGTGTCTGAAATTCATAGGGTAGGTAGAAATTTTAAACATTCTGAAATATATTTCAGGCAAAATAAGATTTGTGAATTTAAAACGCGCTATAAGGAAAAAACATATCGTAACATATATAAAAAAAACCACCTCTAAATAATTTAAACCTCCTACTATATAATAACACAAATCCATTTGGAATTAAAATGATACATGAGAGACTTTTTTTAAAAGAAATTTTAGCACATATAAATTAAATAGAAAATGTTTTTACTTTTATTAAAATATAAAGATAATTAAAATTTTTTCGAAATAAGACAAACATTCATCGTTAAATATTAAGTTGATTCCATTTCTTGGAAGTCCAATTCCAATGTTTAATTGCCAATCAAGTTTTTTTTTTCGTAAACTGTTTTCTGGCCTTACGAATAAGGTCGAATGTAGTCGAAGTAATTAATTACAGTTTTTACATTATAAACTAAATATCCCAGTTTATGAATTCTTCTATTAGCGATAAATTTTGAGAGAACCTTCCGCAAATTACATTCATTCGACATTACCTTCGAATCTACTAAGCAAAATATTATTTAAACTAGAACCCGATCATATTATTAATTTTTTTCTCGATTTTTCTCGTAACAATTCTCAAAATATATCATGATCAGGGTTACCAGATTCATTCAAAAAAAGAGGGAGAGTTTAACTAATTCAGAAAAAATTTTTTTTATAAGAAATAAAAATTTAGTAAATATTCTTTAGAAGATTTTATGCACTAATCAAATTTTAATTTTTGTTATATATTCCTTAAAATAAGTATATTTAAAATTATGTTTAATTCTTAATTCCGTTTCTAAAGCTGATAAAATTTTGTCTAGACATTTTTTATTAGACTAAATGAATCCCGGATATAAATGTCCTGATAAAAATCTGGATAAAAATAACCCGGACAAAAACACACTGTGCATAAATACTCCTAGACAAAAAGACATTGGGCAAAAATACCCTCGGAGAAAAAGACATACTTATAAAAATACTTCTATTTTAATAAATATTTTAAAATGCTTAGAAGCGGAAATTAAATATTTTTTATATTAATTTATTACACAGCTCTAAGAAAAAGTTAAAGTTTTTTTAATGTTATTATGTTATAACTTATATTTATATTTAATATGATATTTTATATTTAACCCCATTTATTAATCGTCCTAATTACTTAATGACTGAAGGAAAATAAATATTTATGTTCTTTTTAGAAGCGTAAATATCATTGTTCCAAAGACTCGTTTAACAAAATTAATCTTTCATATGTTTTTTCAATTCAAAATAATGTATACCATTCATTTTTATTGGATTTGGGACCGTTAATAGTATATATTTATATATTTCAAAGAATTACAAATATGTTTAAAAAATTATTTTACCAGTCGCCTCAGAAGGGTAGCACAGTGGGCTGCATCCTCTAGCTATAATATGACGTTCACCGCTTTTATAATGAGTTTTCTATTATATATATATTTAAAATATGGTTTAGAAAATTGAGAGATTAATAAACTAGGTGATCTCGCTAAGGAGGGACAAAAGCGTGCTCAGCACACCTAAATTTATTTTGAGGACACGCCTTATCCATATAGCTAACACTTTTTTATGAGGGCGCCTAAATCTTTTAACTTATATAGTGAGTAGCGATGCCATTGATTGACTTAAATAGTAATATATTAAAGAAATCCAAAACTGATAATTATAAAATGAGTTATTCCTACATAACACATTATTTTTATTGGCAATTGAGTATATTTATGAAGGTATATAAATATATAAATCAAAGCCAACTTAATTCAAACAATAAAAAAATCATCTCTAATATAAAATAAATGAAAGATAGATATATATTTATAAAATAAATAATTAAAATTTTTTAATTTGCGACCTTGAATTTATATTATTTGTCAAAAATATACCTGCGTATACCAATATATTTCATTTTTATGAAAGATTTTTCAAATCGTCTCAATATTCTAAAACGATTACCGGGTTTATAGCTAGGGAAAGCTAGATATTTTAATAAGAATTGCCTTAATTATATTTATTATTTTTATGATATAAGCGTCTATTTTTTATTGGATGCATAGCATATATCTTAACACAAATATTTTTTTATTCGAAATAGACAATCATAAAAATATCATAAGCTTAAGATTTTTTTAAGGAACTTTGATACCATGCTTAAGGTTTATTAGATAGATTATATTTAATTTTTTTTAAAAATATTGATTATTTTGTTTCGTAATTTTTTTTTATGACTTTATATTCAATCATCTAACATGAATTTTTCCATCGAATTGCTTGCTCGTTTTATATTTATAACTGAACCAATTCCTTGGGGAGTGGGAAAGGTGGGGTAGGTTTAGTTTAATTTATAAATTAGACAAATATACATGATATCTTAAAATAATCTAATAAAATAATGAATAACGCTATTTCGCAATATCCTGGGTCGACTTACTTTCGTTTAGCTCAGGCTAGACAGCTTTTGAACTATGACACCTTATTTTAGTTTCTGTTTTTCTGTTGTTATTTTAAATATTTTTTTCATTGTTTTTTTTAGTTAAAAAGAACTTGTTTGTTTTTTCCTATCCCTAATATTATGTGTTTCGTTTACCATATTGATTACAATTTTTGTTTAGAAGATTAAATGAGTTGTATACTTACTTAAAAACTAATTTGCCTCTTATTTTTTTTAGTCTGTTTAGGCGAAGTTATATAGTCGGCTAAACCTCTGAATATTTAGAAATAAGTCAAACTAGGACACTGTCTTTACGTTTGTAAATATGCATCTCTTTTTAAAATTTTTAGAAATATTCTAAGGGAATTCGCGTCCTTCCTATAAAATATTAGATAGAATATTCTTTTTTTGCTCATTTTAGAATAAAGTTAATTTATTTTTGGGAATGTTAGAAAAATTTTTTAAAAATGAATCCCCTCAAGTTGAAAAAGCTAGGGATGGCACCAGAAGCTGCGACTTATATAAATGTCAATGGGGGTTGAAATTTTTTTATAAAGATATATTCAAAATTTGAAAATAAACTTAGTCAAATTTTAATTAATTGTAAGAAAAATAGCATAAAAAAGCTTGTAATTTTAATTCTGTATAGGAAATCTTATTTTTTATTTCCCTTAGAGTTTTTATATATATAAATGAGATAGATAACTAAATATTATTTAATATATTTTTATTTTGTGTGAATGATATAATATCATAAATTCTTATTTATAAAAATATTCATTACTCTAAAGAGTTTAATGTATATTTTTACTTTGAATAGTTCAAAAACATATCTCTTCCCATAAAGTTTTTGAATCGCATACTGCTCCATATTAATGATCAATTATTGGTTTGTTTTAACAATTTTTAATACTTGCAATTGTAAACATTATAATAAATTAAATTAGTCAATAATATTTATAAAATTACCTGAAATGATAGTATGTTAAATTCATGCTTTATTCGAATTTTAAAAACGTTTTTTCCTGTAACTTTAAAATGGGCTCCTCTAAATTTAATTCCTTTACCTTTAAATTAACTTCTCTCTAAGCTTAAATATTGCACTAGAATTTTGACCAGGATTTCTTATTTAACATCCTGAAAATGTAATGAAGAAGATGATTTCAGCTTTAAAACTTCTATTCTCTCAAATATTGTTATTATTATTTTAATAAATAAAAATTTTCAAAAAGCTTTATTTGGTGTAACAAATTTTTTGTTATTGTAGCAATCTTACTGCGAATGGTATTTATAATTTCTAATAAAAGTTTTATTATTATTTCATAATTCCTTTCTATTGTTTTAGCGATATTATTCGCATACACGACCGTGTAGGTTATAATGGCCTTAAAGAACTTGAATCATCATTTTCATCTTGGATGGAACGGAGTCACTCCATGCGTTTTACAGATATTATATAATAATTAATATGTTTTTATCGGCGCCTTTGAACAGCACTATTCTAAGGCCCAGTTAAAGTCAACAAATAATGGCTTCAAAAATTTAGAAAATAATAATTTGGCTACGATCAATAATTTTAATTATCCGCATTTTTGTTATCTAGTTAACATTTCTCAAGAAACCAGAAATTCCATTGGGGCCCAAAATAAAATGCGCAAATCAGGAACGCGTTATAAGCGTAAATATTAAAAAAATATATGTATAAATAGAATATTTGATGTCATGAATTTGGTTTGAATATATATTATTACATGCATTCATAAAACTGTAAAAGAATATAAGTTTGAATTTGAATTCTTAAAATATTTATTTAGGCCCCAAACTAAAACTAAAAAATAAAAATCCGATTTTTTACCGATTCATATGAACTATTATAATTAATTAATTTTGATTTTCTTCTAGTAAAATCTTTAAGTATCAAAATAAATGTATACAATTCATTTTGAATAATTTTCTCTGGCCTCATATTCTTGAAATTTGAAAGGATAATTTGTTTTTTAAATCAAGGATATTCAAATTTCTTTTTACAAATTAGCTTATTTTTTGTTCGTTTTATTTACATTGTCTGAAAATTATGAATTTTATTTTATGATTATTAAATAAAATCGAAATCAAATTTATTTCTTAAAATTTATTGATTTTTTTCTAAGAAAACAAATAAAAAAATTTTATCTTTGTCATCCAAAATTTTTTAAGAAAGGGGGGGGGGGTGAGGGGGTAAAATTTAATTATCTGATAAATATAAAAAACTACGAAAAAATTATCTAAAATCCAAAAGGAAAAAACGAAATGAAGAAAATTATCATCACACCGTGAATAGTAATAAATTTTAGATGATTTCATTATGGGGGTGGGGGGGGGGGGTAACATTTATGGATATAAATATAATTATTTTAATAAGAAAGTGCATCAATTATGAATAGTAAAAATCTATCATTTCATCCCCGGATTCTTTACCCCTAGACTATTTTAGGGAATCTACAATATAAATGCTGACCAGTAAAAAAAAATGCCAATTTTAAAAAAATAAGGCGATAAAAGTTATTGGCCATAGCCGAACCTGGATTGCCAATTAAAAAATAATTTAATGATAAAAATATGTATTAAAATTTATTCTTGAACAACTTTGGAATATTTAACTATAAAGTTTAGATCCTCCCTTACTTTATTTACGCCAAATGGATAACAATGGGTTCGAATGATGATTTATATGATATATCATATTGAATTTATGTGAGCATAATTAATAACAATTTACATAGAAATGTCGAGAAAATGTATTCCTAGTTTTGGCGATAATTTATTACTAATATTTTTTTTATACAGATAAGTCTTAGTGTTATTAATATTTTTAAGCAAATATAGTTTATTAATATTTTATGAGATATAATAATGTTAAAAAACTGATTAAAAATATTAATAATCGCTTTAAACAAGGTTTAATTATATTATAGATAACAAAACTTTATCTTAAAAAGTCTATATATATCTAGTTAATATTTCCTATTTCCTTAATCTCGAATTAATATTATATTTATATTATATTTCAAATAATAAAATATTATTTTGATATTATATTAAAAATGTGAAATGAGGTCAATACAGAATATAGTTATAAATTAATCATGCCTCTGTATCTATTTATATCTATAATCAAATATTTTGATATCGGATTCGGATATTTAATTTTAACACCTTTAGCAAAGGATTTAATAAAAAATGTTAATATTTTTATATTCTTTAAATTAAAAGGCAAAACTTGGTAAAAATATGTTCATAATTAATTTTTGTCTTTCACCTTATTCATTTATTATAAACCAAGATGCGTATAAATGTCTAAGAATAAATAAAAAAATTTAAAAAAGCAATCAAGGCAATATCATAATACAATTAATTTTTATTATATTATATAATGAGTAAAATAAAATTTAAGATAAAATATCAATATACATTTAAAAATACAAAAACCTGAAAAAATGACAACTTGTTCGTATTTATCAGCTAAAGTTGTTGCCCGATTCGGGTCGATTTTTAAAAAACGATCCGATTAAGATTTTAGCCAAAATAATATTATGTAAGGCTGGATTTCCTCATAGATGGCAGAAAGATTTGGAACTCTATTTACCAAATGTCGAGGCTTACATAATATTATTTTGGCAAAATTTTTGATCGGGTGGGTTTTTTAACAACCCTATTATCAATTTTATAGTGGTGGCTGTATAAAATTTTAGGATTTCAAAATCAATTTAAATTGTCGAGGTCACTTAAAAAAGGTAATTATGGGATGTGGACCAAAACATGTACGGTCCCGGCCGGTAGGTAATGAATTCAGGGTAGAGCATTGTATAAAATATTTGTTGGGCCAAGACGCAGTGTAACTATGAAATTTTTAAAAAATATTCTAAACCATGATTTTTCTTTATAAAAAATAATTACGTGCCAGCCTAAAAAAATTCTAGCAATTTTGTTAAAAATTTTAGCAATTTTGTTAAAAATTTTCCGGGATGGACTATAAATATAAAATATTATAACCTGAACCAAAAAAATTTTAAAAATTTTTACGACTTCTTATAGCAGAACTATATGGAAAAACACCTTCATTTAATAAAGTTTATAAAAAAAGTTCTTTAAAGGACTAGAAATTTAAAACGATAGAAACAGGAAATAGTTTGAGCCGAGAATCGTGTGGGACTTGAAATCAAAATGTAAAAATGTTAGAATTGGCAATATTAATAAACGAACAGTCTAGCCATATTCACCAAAATTTTGTAAATAATTTTTAGGTCCGACCAGTAATTGTACATGTCTCCTGATCCGTGATATAGTTTTGTCAAGGAAACATTAATTTGCATTATTCAAGTAAAAAAACACTGGCTAGGCCTGAAAAATATTTTGAGCATGTTGCCCGGGTCAAATGTTAGCCGCGGTATTCCGTATAAAAAAAATCGTGCTAATTTTTGATAATAATCATACGCATACAAACAACAAATAAAAATGATAACTAAAATAAATCATTTAATATTTACCCTACAAAATCCGTTGCACTCAGTCGGTATCGCTTTGTTTTTGTCAAAAGGCTCGGCACAGCTCATATAATCCCTAAATTGATTTAGATTCATATTAGCTGTAGGTAGTGTACCACACGCGTAACACTTAATGGCATCATTATATTTTACTAAAAAAATCAAATATATTCGATGAAGATTTAGAAAAAAAATTAATAATAATTTACCGTTCGAAGCGATCACTATTATTACAAAAATGGGGAAAAATTTAGGTATCATTTATAAACGAATAAAATTTAAAAAATAAAATATTGAATGAAATAAGATTAACAGTAAACACATATAAAATGGCGAAAAATCATATGATTTAAAAGGTAGTATTTTTAGATGTTTTGTCGCTAACGAAAATTTTTTATATATAATATAATTTTTGATTGATTGTTTCTATAGTAATGAATTATAATTCAGCATTTTTGGATATTCATTTATGAAAATATATATTTTTCTTAAATATCAACAATTGATTTATTTAGTTACATGATATTATTATATTAATTTTATCAATGATAAAATTCAAAATCAATAAAATTTTATCAAAGTTTTATATATTTTTATCTTTAAATTTTTTTTTGATTCATTGATACTTTTTATTTATTTAAAAAATGATAAAACACTAAAATACTAAAACAAGTATATAAAAATATGTAAAATTACAAAATAAAAATTTATATTATAAGTATCGAAGCTCTAAAAAGAGCTTAATTTAATAATGAATATGTACCTAAAAAACAAGTATAATTGTGTTTAAAAATTTCTAGTTGAAGTTTTTGTTTAAGAAATAAGGATTCACGATTTTCTTTTGTTATGTTAAAAATTTTTCTAAAGTTTTTTTAAAAAAATAGGTAGACTGTGATTAATTGCCGTTAGTTGATATGACTATTGGCTGTATAAAGTTTTTTAATTTTGAATATTTATTAATTTTTTTATTTTCCCCACAAGTAAGAGGGTTTGAATTAATTGATGAAGGAAGGGAGGAGACGCAGGTTGCTTCCCAAATAAGGGATTTCCCATTGGATCAGGGGGTGCAGGTTAAACCGTCGGGTCTGAGGCCGTTCTAATGAGAGGTTGGCTCAAGGGTATTTTAGCTTTATTAAAAGCGTTATGGATGATTTTATTAATTGCTTTATGCCTGAGATGGCGACCTTGGTTACGGGTGCTGTTTAGGCCGTGTCTGGCGTTAGGTAGAACGGGTAAGCAGCATTGATGGCAAGTGTGTGACTGTGTAAGCGAATATCCAAGTCTAAATTCTATAGTAACTCTCAGTTGGTCATTGGTTAAGAGATTATCTAAGGTTTGGCTTTGAAGTGCTTCGAGCCATTCATGCCCGCCGTATTTATCGTTGAATTGTAATAGTTGTATATCGCTAATATCGGTAGGGTTAAGACTATTTTGTAATTTCTTTATTAGGGGTTGGATGATAGATTTGTTAGAGATTTCGGTTGGAAATGTATAACCGTCTGAGGTAAGTAGATTCCATCTTTCAATTGCTGCTGTTAGAAGATCATTATTGGGAGTTATGAATGGTGAGATCGCAGAATTGAGCGATAGGCGATTTGAGAGATAGGCGATTTGAGATAAATAGAGATAGGGAAAGTAGTTCTAAGGGGATCAAGTCGATGCCACCTACTCTAGCGGGTAATTGGGCCTGTGCCAATTAAAGTCTGATAATTAAAAGTTGAGGATCCTTTCTATAAAGGTCTTTAAGCGAATATTGTGCTGAATGAAAAATTTTGAGGAGGTGAATGAGGAGGATGAGTGGAAGAGATGCGAAATTTTAGGAAGATATAAATTTTTTTAATAAGTAAAAAAGCTGGTGCGATGGAATGTGGTTGATTAACCTTTCCAAGTTTTGCATCTCATAAAAGGTTTTATCGATAATTTTTCGGGTATATTATTATTAAGTAATGGGGAGCCCAAGAGTTGGATCTCTTCTTTTTCGATAATAGTGTAACCTTTAAATAAATCTAAAGGAATCTTAAGGTTGAGGAAGCATATTTCAGTTTTAGTTTTGTTTAATTCTAAACTAATTTTAGAGCATTCTCTTTCGAGGTGGTTAAGGGCTTTGCATTTAATGTGGATTACCGCAAAGGATGCCATCATCTAGGTACCAAAGATTAAGGTCTAGGTCAAAATCAAATTTAAGATTTTTCATTATATTGTGCATAACTAAGCAGAAAAGAATAGGGTCGAGGGGGTCACCTTTGTACTCCCTCTTCGGAATATATGACGCTACCATTAAAAATGAAAGGAGTGCTATTGTTATACCAGATGTCTACGAAGCGCGAGTATTGGGGGAAATTATCGCAAAAAGATTCGAGTGTCACGGAACGTGATATTGTATTGAAGGCATTTTTAAAATCGATTTTGCATAAAATGGAGTTTATCGCTGGATGTTGAAGGTAGATTCGTGGGCTGTGAGAGGCTATATCAACGCCTCCTTTAGTTCCACATCCTAATTGGTATTTGCTAAGCAGGGAATGAGTATCGGTTTGCAATAATTTTAGTTATCAGGCGTCTGAAAAATGAACCAATTGCGATTGGGCGGATGCCTTCATTAGGTTTTTCAAAAGCAATCAAGTTAGCTCCAAATATAATTTGATGAGCTAATGTGGGAATATCTTTAATAGTTATATTATTAAGGAAGGTGGTAAGTGAGTTAAAAAAATTATTGGAATTATGAGATTTTAGGAATGTTTGGATGTAAGATGGTCTATAGCCATCTGGGCCTGCTGCTGAAAATTTATTAAATTCACTTATTGTTTCGCGAATATCTTGGTTTGAATTTATGAAAGGGGGTGGATATTGAGCGGTGGGTTTGGTAAGCTAGTATAAGAGGCATGTGGATGAAGGGATTTTAGGCTGTCAAGGATCATGTCGTTAGATGTGGCGAGTTTTGTTTGTGAAGAGATTAATTTTTGTGCACCGCATATGTCGCCTTCATTCCTTTTTTTGGATATTTTGTTGCAGGTATTACTGAAACTTTCATTAGAATTAAATTTTTAACGTATTCTAATAGTGTTAAATTTTCCAAATTTTTGAGTCTGTCTTTTATTAGGTTAGATAGTGAGATAGATTTGTTATCTTTTGTCATTGAGAGGCATTTGAAAGGGAATGTGAAGAGATTATTCCAATGATATTTAGTCTAGATGGGATGTGTTTTATTGTTGGTATTTTTTAATAAAGATAAATTCTTCTAGTGATTTGTTATTTACATGTATGTGTTTGGTATTAATTGGGGGTTCTATTAGTTTTGTGCAAAGTGTATTTGAACCTGAGCAAGGGAGGGCTTGGGGGCTATGTTTGTATAGATGGCCATCATTTCTAAATTAATAAGTTTGTGACAGGTTGAGCAGATTCTTTTCATGCTAATGATGAGAAGATGGTTTAATACCTGAGAAGTTTGTTACTTTGAGTCTAATACAAAAACAATGGAGTAGGGTTATTTGGTGGTATGTTGGTATATAAGGGTTTTGTTGTAGATGGAATAAGAATAATTAATTATGTATAATGCATGTGAGTGTTGTATTTTTATTTCCAAGATAATGTGTTGTTAGTAGTTTCAATTGAGAGTGAGCTTGTTATAAACTCTGAAGTTATAGGTGCAGGTGGTATGCATGTTAGATTACAATAAACCCAATTTCGATCCCAGAGTTTTACAATATCAGAGAATAATTAGTAATTTGATACCGTTAAAAATTATTGCAAATCTTTTAAATTTATCAAAAAAGAATTGTTAATAAAAAAATGCATAGCAAACGGAAAATACATCAAAACTTCATTAAATGGAAAAATGCCCTAATCTCAGGTCCGGCATACTATTTAAGGTGTGCTAATGATTGTATAAAAAATTTTAATTAAAGTAAATTTAGATTCAGCATGTAATATAGCAAAAATATTATTTTATTCTAAGGTTAAGCAAGAGATATATTTTTTAAAAGGATCAAAGTATCAAAAACCAAAGAGTCCCAATTCCATAGCGATAGAAGCTTCCTAAATTAGGAATCAATTATTCTTCATAAATAAGTAATAGTGTGGTAAATATAGCTCCTATAAATTTTGGTTGTGGCTATTCCTTGTAAATACTCTCACAATCGACTTTATTGTTTGCCTCAACTTTTTGAGAGAGTAAATTAAATATTGATTTGATACCACCCTACAATAGTATGAAAAAAACGCTTCCACTTTGTGATAAAAAAAAGATACTTTAATTTAATAATTATGCTTTCAATCAGCCACTTCCTGTAAATTTCCTGCCATTAAACTCAGAACTGTTATTGGATGAGGGCTTTATAAATATAATTTAAATATCAATAGTATGAGAATCACACTCATAGTAAATATTCGTAAGATGAATGAAGATATAATGATTTTAAATCTCACAGATTGAATAATAAGGTTTAGTTGAGGTAAGTGTGAATTTCGCCAGAATTTTTTTATAATTTTTAAATATAGTAAGACGAGATTTATTAGTCAATCTCGTTATCATTAATTTGAGTTTATAAAATCAGATTTATGATTAGGACCCAGTGGCGTAGCACCCCCCCCCCCCCCAGAGAAATTTTTTCTTAGATTATACGTTCAAAAAACTCATAAGTGACTTTATATCAAATAAATACCATGAATATTTATATTTTTCTGGTTTTGATGTTTGTGGAAGGATATTATATTACTATTGAAATTATTTTGGATACTATTATTATAAAGTAATTGAGAATAATCTACTAAATTATAATAAAATATTATTGATGCATTTAAAAAATATTTTTTCAATAATTCTAGGACTTTTATTTTATAAGAAAAACAAACATGACTTTTTAAGATAAACCCGACCGAAGGCCGGGCAAAAGGGCGCCCACAACTTTTATATGTATGACCCCCTTTAAGAAAAATTCCTAACTACGCCACTGTTAGGGCCCTATTCTGTTTCCTTTAAAAAAGTACCGAAGTCTACTTTATATTTTAAATATCCTCGCTCAAGGTTGGACAATATCTCAAATAATTTATTTTTAATACTTTTTTATATTCAAATTTTTTATTTATTTTAAAATTCCCATTAATATCTTATATTTGTTTGAAAATATTCATAAAATAATTATTCACCATTCTGCCTTATAAAAAATGGCCACTTTCAAATTTCTCAGGACACATAATTTTGTGGAAATAAAAAACACATGAAGGATTTGCAGAGTTGGACAGTATCGCGAATACTTGTATCTAAGATAAAAAATCCTTTTGTATCTTGTAGTCAGTATCTTTTTGACATTTTTAATAAGATAGTAAAATCTGTATCTAAGATCCTTTATTC